TGACTTATCAATGAAACAGAAGCCAAAAAACAGCTTAATGATGTCTTCAAAATAGAGAAAATAGCTGTCAGTGTAGAATTTTTAATCCAGGAAATTCTCATTCAAGAACAAAGAATAAAAAAAAGACATTTTCAGGCAAGACTGGTAAGTCCAACATACTATACTGTAGAACTCCAAAGGATTTATTTCAGGAAGAATAAAACTGATTCCAGAAAAGCCATCTAAGATGTACAAAGAAAAAGTGAGCAAGAAAAAAATGTGGATGTCTGGTGAAATTAAGCATACACTGACTATATAAAATAATGATTTGTGTGCTTAAAAAGAACGAAAATTCTACACAATGCCATATAAATTGGATGATGGTAGTTTGAGTTAAGTTTTTTGTATTTTGCAGGATAGTAAAGATATTAACTGCTAGCAGATGCTATCAGTGCCCTGCCCATACAGCCTTGGATTTTAGCATTTCTGGCCTCTCTCCTAACTTTTAACTGGCAGTATTTGGGGCTCTTTGCATGAGGGCTCCCTGTGACCACTGTGTCTCCCCTGCATGTGTGCAGGATAAGCTGGAAGTGCTGAGGAATTAATGTACCCAGAAGCAGGCCTCAACTGATAATGGGTTGGAATTAATGGATAAACACTCCAGCTCCCTCACCCTCATTCCTTGGTTTGTTCTGCACTGTTTCCTAGAGTTACCTATTGGGATTTAGCCCTAGTTGGCCACATTGGTAACCAAATGAGACATACTTTATCGGCTTCCTTCCCTTCCCTGTCTCACCTCCCTACTCCCTTATCAGGGTTCTCTCAAGCTACCTCTCAAATAAACCTTTTCGTTCAAATTCTCACCTCAGGGTCTGCTTCTGAGGCAATCCAAATTAAGACATTAACTTTGAACATCTGTAATAAATGTAAATGGACCAAAATCTCCAGTTAAAAGACAGATTACCAGATTGGATAAAAACAAAAAACCTCAACTACATATTGCCTATATGACACAAAGATGAAACATAAGAACATTGAAAAGTTGAAAATAAAAGCATGAAAAAATGATACCCTAAGCAAATTTTATTGAAAGAAAGCTGGTGCAGCCAGACTGATAACAGATGAAATAGGCTTTAAGTTTAAAAATTATACTAATCATAAAGAGAGTTACACATATTGCTACAAAATTAATTTCACAGGAAGATTTAACAATTCCAGACTTGCAAATACCTACTAACACGCCTTCAAAAGATAGCAAAAATTAGAATAACAAGGAGAAATTGACTTATCCATCATTATAATGGGAGATTTACAGACCAAGTAGATAGAAAACAAAAAAACTCATAAAAATATTAGTGATTTGAACATCACAATAATTAGTGACTTACATAGAACTTTTCACCAATTAATTTAGGAAAACATTATTTTCAAGCACCCAAGATATGTTTTATAACAACTGACACATGCTAGTACAGAAAGCAAGCCTAAATAAAGTTCAAAGAATTGGCATTTATATAAATCACTTTCTCTAAATAAAATAATAAAGTTAATCAGTAAAAACAAAAAATCTATAGGTTTGAAAATTAAAATATATTGTCTAAATAATTCATGCCATAGGTCAAAGGAAAACTGATGATCTGAGGCTCTAAACTTTCATGAGGTAAAACAGTGGAAAATCTCAATGTTGGGATGAAGGAAGAACCTTTAAGAAAAGAGAACGGAATGTTGAGCTTGAAGCTGCATTGACTTCTTTAGCATGTTTTGGGTAAAGAAGGCCTTAGTGCTTGTTGTCAATCCTGATTGACTGTGTTTAGGTCACATGCCCACAACTGAACAAATCACAGTGGAGAGAAAGATGGAGTCCTCTGTCTGGCTATTGTGGGCTAGGTCCCACTTCTGTGGAGATGGAATAGGGGTGGGGGTATTTGGACTCCTAGAAACTCCAAAACTACATGGGGCCAGAGAAGAGGTCCCTTCTGGGAGGAAAGCTAGAGCAAGAAAATCACCCTTCTTCCATAAATGCAATTCTCTGAATGCCCCCACCTAGCATAATACAATGAGTATATAAACAAAAACTTAAAAACCAATTAATATCTAGTTGCCAGATCCAGTCCCAGGCCCAGAGCTTCTGGGTGATATATTTTCCTTCTTCATTAGGTTTTGAAACAACCTTCTGTGGATTTGGTAGACTATAGCTTCAAAAGAAGTTTAACCACCATCACCACCATGCCCAACATAGGGAGGCCCCAGTGATAACGGGAAAACAAACACTGCAATAAAATCTCCCATTTGTATACTGCATGCTTTACAGGGAAGGAACTGCGACAGCCCCAGGCAGGGCACTCACTTCCTTGGTCAGCCAACTCAAGTGACCCCAACTCCCTTCCTATTTCAAGGACACTCCCTGTCTAGGGTTTTCGATGGCCACTTCTGAGAAGGGCACAGGGAAAGACTTCCCACTGGGGGCCTCCTCTCATCATAATTGCAGGGTCTGGAACTTGTCCTTGCATTTGAGCAATCACAGATCACCATTTGCCAAGTTTGGAGTTCTCTGGAAATTTTATTTCCCCACAATCCTACCGGGAAGTTGTTCCATTTGATCTTTTGTTAACTAGTAACTAACTTCAGAAATTTATTCCTGGTTATGGTCCTTGAACTGAATTTTCCCTTGTAGTTTCTGACACTTAAAAATAAGCACAGCCCCTTTGACCTTATGCCCAAATTGAGGGCTTCCTCTGGACTTGAAATGGGGAACAAAGCTAATCTGACCTCTGCCTCCAGCCTGTATCCCAGTGCATGATGAAAAAAGAGAGAATTTATTAGCTCAATTTACAGGTAGACCCAGGGATGGCTGCAGCTGAAGGTATAGCTAGATCTTGGGGCCCAAATGATACTGTCAGTGCTCTGTCTTTTCTTCCGTCTCTCAGATCTGCTTGCCTCCGCTTGGCATCAGGCTAAATGAAGCTGTGTTCATATGATGGACAAGGGAGCTCCTCAAATTCATATTCATTCAAATTAGCAAGCAGCTGAGAGAACATTCTCTCCCCATATCAACCTTAGGCGATTCTCTGATTGACCCACCTTGAGTTCTGTGGCCACCCTTGTGGCCAGGCGAGTGGGGCATTTTTGCCAGCAGTCAGGTACCCACACCTGTGATGGAGGTGGGGCCGGGCACTCTGATTGGCAGCTCTGTAGGGACCATATGGAGTGAGACAATATGTGTCACAGGAAGGGATGCCAGGCAGACGAAAACAAGGTTCTTTCTGGACAAGCAAGAGAAATGAAGGCCAAATAGTAGGATAAGATGCGGGAAGCAACTCTGCATAAGTTCCTGAACATTTATTATAAGGGACCCCCGATATACCCTAAGTTTCCCAATGATGAAAGCCAATAAGTTCCTGAACATTTATTATAAGGGACCCCAATATACACAATGACCCAGTGAGTTTCCAGTGACGAAAGCCAATAAGAAAACACAATCAGTCATGTAAGCCAGATGCTGGCTGGGATCTCCAGGCCCAGGGGAGGTGCAGAGCATGACTTAAGTTTTCTTCTGTTTCCCTGGAGGCCAAGTTTCTCTGAGCTCTTGATCTTACAAAGGCTACCTCTTTCCACACCACATGGCTTGCAGATGTGAAGCTTAGCCTTTTCTTTGACTTCTACAAAAGACTCTACTCACACAAAATAGTGAAGATGTTCACAGAAAGTCAAGGTTAGGGAGATGGAGGACACGGCCCTTAACCCTCTGCCACTGGCCTTCATTTCACACACTATCTTATAGGCGTCTCTTCCCTTCCTTTCCTGGCTTCTCTAAATTTTCTCTCCAGCCTCTTAGAGGCCAAATTCCCCTCTTTGTCTCAGGTAGAATAGACTATCTCTTACCTTGAGTTACTTGTAGAAACATCCAGTGCTTTGGGCTCCTACTCCCACCACTCACAGCTTATGGAAATGTTTTCCCAAACAAAAGCCATTTGCTGCGTAAGAAAACTTCTACTCCCAGCAATTAAAATAATACAATTTCCCTTTATTATGTCATTTTTCTAGGGATGAAGACAATTCCAGTGCTCTTTCACCCCCATGATCCTGTGTAAAGGAAACTAAGTCACATCCACCCCAACATGCCCACCATAAACCCAATCAGCTTAAGCATACAGCGAGGGCCCAATACCCAAGGGCAATGAAAGCAAATGTGATACACCCAGGGAAGGTCAGAGTTCCAAGAGCACAGGCGTTGATGGTCTGGTTCCGTCAAAAATCTATAGGAAGAGATACATTAAATACACTCCAGGCAATCCTCTGTGAATGTCATTTCTCACAGGGTTGAGATTAGGGTTGGCAGCAGCAGTTCAAATCTGAAAGATTCACAAGGTCACGGCACACAGGCCTTGCCATTATGATTACAACAGATCCATAGAGTTTTAAAATCAACCATACGAAAGATGAGGCAAATATTATTATAATGTCCATTTCACATTTGAAAAAATTGAGGCTCAGCTTAGTTGAGTAAGGTCAAGGTCAGAGCCAATGTTTGCATCCAGTCTGTTTGATGCTGATGCCTCTAACCTTGAAATTTAGCTCTTGGTCTCACTTCTGTTAGTTTGAAAGGCAATAGGTATACTGGTTAAGAGCAGAGGCTCCAGGTTCAAATCCATCCTGGCTTTACTATTTCGTAGCTGAGAGGCCTCGTGTAAGTTACTTAACCACTCTGTTCTTCAGTTTCCTTAGCTGTAAACTGAGGGTGGCAATAGCACTTGCCTCACAGGGTTGTTGTGAGTATTAAATGAACTTAGAACAGTGTCTGGCTTGCAATAGGTACACAGTGCATTATTCTTTTTCCCGAACTAGAGCTTCTTGTGTCTGTCCGGTCTTCATCAATAGATCTGTAGGAAGCACCTGCCAGACACTGCGTCCCACCCCTGACTTCAAGCTGCTCTAGCAGAGGTGGGAGAGACACAAGTGTCAACAGCCAAAGGGCAGTAACCCTATTACACAAGGTGGAGCAACAGGCTTCAGAGATCAGAGTAGCAAACTGCCTAGAGGAGAAGGTACACAGAGCAGTGACATTTTCTCCAGCTCTAGGAGAGTGAGTAATGATTTTCCAGGAGAGGCATGCTATTTACAAGCGTGGAGTCCTCAGGGACTGGCGGTGCGTCATGGGCAGCAGGAGAGGTAGAGGAGAGCAAAGGGTATCTGGGGGCTGGGGAGGTGATGGTGAGATTAGACATGATTTTTACCTGCAGGGAGGGCTCATGCTGGTGTTTAAAATGTTCTGGCCAGCATCACAGGGAGGGTGGTTGGTGGGATTAGGGAGACTGTTGTTAGGTTGTTAGGTGCATGTTGTCTAGAAAGATATCATTCAGATCTCGTGCCTAGGCACCAGCGTCTCGTGAGAACTCAAATCGGCTGAATGTCCCAGGCTGAAGTGAGAAGAGGGAAGTTTCCACCCTGGTAAGGCAAAAGCTCTGGGCAATCTTTGGTCCAGAGACCAGTGTTCACGAGGTCTCTGCCTGACTGTTTACCTGTCGGGGGCAATGCCTTTAGAGGGCCTATAGGCTAAGTGAGGTCTGTGGCCTGCATGAGGGAAAGATCAAATCATGTGTCCCTGAGCTCTGGAACAATACTTGAGAGAGTTGGATGAAGCATGTGACCCTTCTGAAGAAACAGTCCACCCAAGAGATGGCCGCCACCATGCAGCTGATAAGGCTAGGGAGTCACCCTAATTGCGCAAGGGGGTGTGTACCCAAAGTTCACCTGATGCTGGAGAGATTTTTTCTAACCAGAGACTAGCTAATCTTGGACTATACAGCTGCTCTGCTCCCTAGGAAGAAATGTGTTTGTGAGAACCAAGAAATATGGGTGAGCAAGAACAGTCAGGTAGTTTTTAGACTCACAATGCACATTAGAGTAGTAAAAGTCCCAAGAACCCCTGCTATTTGGAAATAATCCCATGTAAAGTTGCTAAGTCAAGGGAAGAAAGGAAGGAAGGAGGAGAGAGGGAGGGAGAGAGGGAGGGAGGGAGGGAGGGAGGGAGGAAAAGGGAAGGGAAAGAAGGAGGCTTCATGCTCAGGAGCCCCCTTAAGTGAGCTGCCTCTCCTTATCGTCCTAACCACACCTGCAGCCTGAACTTGGTGAGGGAGCGTCCCTGTCTGCCCAGACCTGACAGCGTGTGCTGATGGCATAGCCTTTGCTACTCTCCATGGGCACACCTAGGTTCTGGCCACAGCCTTTCCCTTGCTGAATCTGCCATCCTGATCTGGTATTTTCTCTCTGGTTGGGTAACCTGACCCAGCCTCCAGAGTGCCCTTCCACATTGACTGGGGTCCATACCACACCCCCAGGTCCCCTACCTTCCTGTCACTCCAGTCATTCCTCTGGACATCAGTGACCAGTGATGTGCTTACAGAAGAGCCATAGTGGCATCTGTGGTCCTAGGTGGCTTAGACCTGGGGAAGCCCCTCTACAGAGTTGGCTGTGCAAATACAGCTCTTTATTGTGAGCAGCTTGTAGTTCCAATGTCTTTTGCTTCTTTCCAAAGCACCAAGCACAGAGCAGAGAATGAAGGAATTGTCTCATGAATGCCATTTGGAATGGCTGTGTTTGCCGCAGAGCACTACCATCCTTTTGCTAGAGTCTCTGCTTCATGTCTAGGGAGATCCCACAGTTGGGGATGGAGGGTGAGATGAAGCCATTTGAGGGTGGCTATTCGCTGATACCAGAGCTGATTGGGCCCCCGGGCAGGTGATGAGGAGCCAGGGAAGGGAAAGAAAGCACCTTCTGCCTGCTTCCTTGCTTCCTCGTTCTCTTCCTGCCCTTTCACAGCCCCATGGACATCGCTTCTGAGTGGCCTCCCTCCTGCTCACAGACACCTCTGAGATTTCCTGGCTGACACATCGCATCTCCCTGTGGCCACAGCCAAGCAACACCAGATGTCTGCAGTAGCAGCAACACTTTGGATTCCTGATGGAAAACCCTAAGACGAGCCTCTGTGAAATACCTGCTTCATTTTGGCTTCATTTTCATGCCTTGTTATCTGACCCATTTACTTCTTACCTCAGGGCACAGACCACGGCTGTGACACTCTGTAAAACCCTGTGGGATGGGGAAAAGTAAAAATGACACACCCCGGCCAGGCACACGCCTGTAATCCTAGCACTTTGGGAGGCCGAGGCGGGTGGATCACCTGAGGTCAGGAGTGCGAGACAAGCCTGGCCAACATGGTGAAACCCCGTCTCTACTAAAAAATACAAAAATTAGCCAGGTGTGGTAGTGGGCACCTGTAATCCCAGCTACTCTGGAGGCTGAGACAGGAGAATCGCTTGAACCTCGGGGACAGAGGTTGCAGTGAGCTGAGATTGTGCCACTGCACTCCAGCCTGGCGAAAGAGTGAAACTCCATCTTGGCGGGGGGGTGGCAGGGGGACGGAAGAAAAAAGACACAGACGTCTCAGGGCATGGCTGCTTAGGAGGCTATGAGGCTCTTGCCGCAAGCTTTTCCCCACTTTTCATGGCTGCCCTCAGAGGATAGAATTGCCACAATTTTAAGGATAAAGAAACAGGCTTGGAGAGGCCAGAGGCTTGCGCAATACCACACAAACAGGGGTGCCTTTGTGTTTCTGGGTCAATGCTGTTTTTCACACAGACTGGACCTCGTGGGGGTCAGGAGCAGTGGGACCACCTCGTGCTCTCTCTGTGCTCATACCTTCTCATGGTGTCGATCTCTCCTTGCCTCCCAGACAGAGCAACGCGTGCTTGCCACCTTGATGGTGCAAATGTCACTCGATCTGAATTTGAGGTGAGGAAATTCAAGGCAACCACGGTACACGTTGTCCCCTGTTGGACCCAGGGAAGGACACTTGAGGCAGGAGCAGGCCTGTGGTGCTCTTGGCACAGGGCGAAATGGAGGAATAGGGTGGTGGTGGCGGGGTGCCCTAACCTGGTCTTGGGGCGTTTAAGGAGTTTCTGTTCTGAAGTGTTTCAATAGCCAGTGAGAATGAGCCATGAGAATAAAAATGTACAAGTAAACAGTTGTTCCACTTATACACAGTTAAGGACTTGTGGGAGGGGGGCAAGTTCCAGTTTTTCAACATAGTTTCTAATTGAAAGTGCTGTCGTAACCCTCATTATGACCACCAACTTAAATTTGAGATCTCCGTTTGCCCTAGAATAAACCCCTAGGTTTCAGACTTCCTGGAGCCACCATCCTTCATCTCTTCTGTTTACTTTTTTCTCTTCTGTTTAAATTGGAGGGTTGTTTCTGGCCTGCCCTTCCCCTTGCTGAGGTTCTGTACACAATGTCTGGCACACAGGTGTTTTTACCTGCACAGGCTCAAGACATTCTCACCGTCAGCCCATACATCGGTTTCTTCTCTCAGTCTTAGAGATAAAGAAACTGAAGTCTTAAGTGCTCAAGTCATTTGATCAAGTTCGCTTGGCTACAAGTGGTACCCACGGTGCTAGCCAATGTCTCACTGACATGTGTGGACACCACGCGGGCCCATGCATGGTCAGGGACCTTTCCTGGCTCTGCCCATAGTATCCTCATTTGTCTTGTTTGCTTATATTTTTCTTACAACTACCTCACAGCCTCAACCATGTCTTTAAAATTATTCAATTATTCATAGAGGTGGATTTACAAGTCTGGGTCTCCTTCGTCAGGGATGGCCTTCTCTTCCTCCTCCTCCTCCTCCTCCTCCTCCTCCTCTCTGGAGGTGGTTTCATCACAGACTGTAAAGGCTCTGTAAAAACTAATCTCTTCCGTCTGCCTGAAGCAGTTCTCCCTCTGCACCAGTGACTCCTGCTATGGTAGACTGGGGTAGTTACAGGGTTTTTTTTGTTTTGTTTTGTTTGTTTTTGTTTTTGTTTTTCTGAGACAGAGTCTTGCTCTGTCACCCAGGCTAAAGTACAGTGGCACCATCTCAGCTCACTGCAGCCTCCGCCTTCTGGATTCAAGCAATTCTCCTGTCTCAGCCTCCTGAGTAGCTGGGATTATAGGCACATGTCACCACTCCCGGCTAATTTTTGTATTTTTAGTATAGATGGGGTTTCACCTTGTTGGTCAGGCTGGTCTCAAATTCCTGACCTCAAGTGCTCCACCTGCCTCAGCCTCCCAAAGTGCTGGGATTATAGGCGTGAGCCACTGCGCCCAGCCCTAATTACAGATTTTGTTTGGCTTTCCCATTTTCAGTCCCCTAGTAACAATGTTCTTCCTTTTTTTTTCCTTTAGGGAATTGTCTTTTCTCTTATCCTAATCCACATGGCTCAACTGTCAATCACAGTCTTCCTCTATCCCCTGGCAACAGAGGAGAGATGTGTGACTGAGGCCTGACCAGTCAGAAGATCTGATCCTTCTGGCCATTGTGATTGGTTCAGGGACAAATTCATGGCCAAGTGATTACAATTTTACCCTCTCCAAGCGGTGACACAATGAATAGGCTACAGTGGTACCAATGTCAGTTTTCATTTGCCCAGTTATTCCCACAAGATAAATGTCTGGTTTGTAATTGCCGAGTTATACATATATACGCTTTAAATGTTGGTACATTTTGTGAGATCGCCCCACAGATAGGTTAGTGCAAATGTACACCATTCCAGCAATATGTGGGAGTCTGCTTTGCACACCCTAGCAACACCTGGTGTTGTCAGTCTTTAACATTTGCCAGTCTGATAAGTGGAGACAGCTGTTGAAACCTGTTCTCAATTCCGGGCCTCCCTTGGGTCATGTTCCCACATGCCTGTCCCTAATGTTGCCTCCCTGGGCCTTGCTTCTAAATCTCTTGCCTGCTTCTTTATCCAGCTTTATTGGACTGCTTATCACCTGGTGTCACTGTACTAGACTAGAAAGTGAGTCTTTATCATATACATATATGCCTTTTCTCTTGAAACTCCTGGCAGGTGCTAAGAACGGTTTTGGAATCTAATAATTATTTGTCAGATGAATGAATGGAAACTCCTCTGTGATTCTCACCCATTTCCTATCACTGAGTGGTACCATGTGGTTGGGTCAGTGCTAACCTGGGTAGATGAATGCCCAAGAACACCAGATTTCAAGAATCCCAATATTTTAATGGTTATATTGGATGCTTAACATGATAATGGAGCATGACTATCCCATTCCAGGAAATGACACTCCCCACGGGAAGTCCTTGGTTAACAAATCTTTAATGATGGTCTGCCATGTCTCTAGTGTGGGGTCAAAGGACCCAGTCCCTGATCTCAAGTGACTAAACATCTGTGTGAGAGGCAAAACTAACAAAAGAAGGATTTTAAGTGGCATTTGTATCAGGTGGCATTTATGAAATACAATCCTTTGGGAAAAATAGAACATATCTTGGACTGGAAACGCTTGAGAATGTTTTCTAAAAGAGGCAATTGTTAAGGGGATTTTTATGAGGATTAGTCAGGAGTTCTAGGCTCTGCCAGTTACATTTTGGGGGTCTGATATCATAGCTGGTGCGGTATGAAGCAATGTTATAAGCCTCTAATTTCCATGTCCCTCAAGTTGAGTTTTTAATCTTTTTAGTTGTTGGGTTTGGATACCGATGGTCCAAGAGGAATGTCCTGATTCCTAGTGTTTCGGGGACGAATGTCACAACTTGCTACAAGCTCACCAGGAGGCGAAACAAATATTTCTGAGTTAGGGGGAAGTGCTACAGTTGTGGGAATTGCTCTTAGGCTCCCCCAGGGTAGTAAAATTCCCAAGCTATTTCAAACCAATTTTTTTTCTTCTTTTTAGTGGTGTCAGGACCCCAAAAGGTCACAGTTGCTATTTAATAGAATAGAACATTCTGGCCCTCTTAACAGGGAATTGTACTCAGACTTTGAAAGGTGGGTAGAAATTATATAAAGGAAGGGAAAAGGAAGTTCATTCCAGGCAGGGTGAATGAAGAAGAGCATTTCCATGAGACTTAATAGTTTATAAGGTCCCTTGACAAATATAATCTTTTTTATAATTCCAAGGAACCCTGAAGGTATTATTTATTATAATTATTAGCATTTCTGTTTTCATATGGAAAAACTGAGGCTCAGAGAGGTTAAACAACTTGTTCAAATTCTCTCAATTATTATTATTATTATTTTTTGAGACAGAGTTGAGACCTGTTGCCTAGCCTGGAGTGCAGTGGAATGATCATAACTCACTGCAGCCTTGACTTCCTGGGCTCAGGTGATCCTCCTGCCTCAGCCTCCCAAGTGGCTGGGACTACAGGCACTCATCACCATGCCTAGCTAGTTTTTAGATTTTTTTTTTTGTAGAAAAAAAAATTTAGATTTTTTTTGTAGTCTTGCTATGTTGCCCAGGTTGGTCTTGAACTGCTGGCCTCACACAATCCTCCTGCTTTGGCCTCCCAAAGGACTGGGATTACAGGTGTGGGCCACCATGTCTGTCCCCTCTCAACTATTAAGAGGCAGGGCCAGCAGGGCGCGGTGGCTCACACCTGTAATCCCAGCACTTTGGTAGGCTGAGGTAGGAGGATCATGATGTCAGGAGCTCGAGACCAGACTGGCCAACATGGTGAAACCCCGTCTCTACTAAAAATAAAAACATTAACTGGCCGTAGTGGTGCATGCCTGTAATCACAGCTCTTGGGAGGCTGAAGCAGGAGAATCGATTGAACCTGGGAGGTGGAGGTTGCAGTGAGCCAAGATCGTGCCACTGTACTCCAGCCTGGGTGACAGAGCGAGACTCCATCTCAAAAAAAAAAAAAAAAAGGGAAAAAGAGGCAGAGCCTAGGCAACCATTGATTGGGGAGAAAAAAAAAAAAAAAGGCAGAGTCAAGCCTCAAATCCATGTCTCTGACAAGGGATGGTATCCAAAATATTTAACAACTAATATGGCACAAGTACAACACAGAGACTGGTTAGCGGCCCACCAAACCCATTTCCTCTTCTCCTTGGGTTGACAACTTTCCAGCCTCCTTACTGTTAGAAGTGATACATGCCACTTTCAAGCCAGCCTCAAACTTTCTGGAAAGACATGTGTTGCAGTTGACAGAACGTAAGAGGGAAGGAACTTGGGCCCCAAGTCCCCTGTTAGAGGAGATCCACCCACAAATCAGGAATATCCATTTTAGACTTTATCTAAAAAACGAGCTGCTTTTATCCTTGAATCATGGTACGTTTTCGTTATGGCAGCCAGCTTTACCATAACTAATACAGACCCCCACTATTAGAACCGAGGTCATTTGGTGCGCGGAAGCAGAGGCCTGGAGACCCTCGCAGTGCCTGCGCCACCCTAGGACAGCAGGTCCTGGAATAATGTCATTCAGTTCAATGTGGTTTCGTTCTAACACTGATGAGAAAAAAATCGATCCCCAGCCGAGCCACTGTCTGTGTGGAGCCTGCAGGTTCTCCTCATGTCTGCATGGGTTTTCCCTGGGTACTCCAGTTTCCTCCCACATCCCAGAGATGTGCACATTGAGTGAATTGAGGTGTCTACCTTGTCTCAGTCAAAGTGAGTGTGGATTGTGTGAAGGTGCCCTGAGATTGGCTGGCGTCCTATCCAGGGCGGGTCCCCACCGGGAGCTCTGAGCTGCTGGGATGGGCTCTGACCCACCCCCACCTTGAATGGAATAAGCTGGTAAATCATTATCTTCCTTGTTTTTATTAATCTTTTTAAAATGTATGTATAGCTCACATTTATTTCAATGGTTAATATTAGAAGTATTTTTGGTCTCTATTTAGAAGTTTAGTGACGTTTTTACGACCGGAAGTAGGCTGTAGGAACTTAACTTCTGTTTAACCAATTAGCCTCTGAGAAAATTGGTTTCTTTTTACATTGTTTTCCTTAGACATTAGGTGAGGACTTACTGTAATTGTTGGGGGAAGTACATTCTCAGGTACTTCCAATACCATGTAGTCTGAGGATAGTCCTTTGAGAATGAGCTGCAGTTGCTGGCTGTTACGGGTGGGAGGAGGAGGACAAAAATAGTTTTTAAAAAGGATGGAGGTCCAAGCTGAGCACCAGCATTGTCCACCAATAGGACCAGACCGTGGAAGCCTTGAATGGCTAGAGAGGAGCTTGAGCTTAATACACCCCACACAGGGACCTCTAGCGGATCCCTGAGTTGGGGTGTTTGGGGATGAACATGAGGGAGCTCCATATCTCACGATCTGGTCACCCCAAGTGAGACAGCTTCCCCCCTTGCTCCCAAACACACACACTGAGTGTGTTCTATCTCTGAACTGTAACAACTTGCTTTCCTGTGAGCTCGTATGTCCATTCAGATCCCCTCACCTCTAAGTGGCATATTTTAATTTCAGGAACTGTCATGCTCTTCCCTAAGCTTTCCTGCCATCCCAATCAACCAGCTAACACCACAGGATCAAGTCTGATTTTCAATGTCTGTGACCCCAACTTCTGGCTGCACATGGAATATACATGGAAAATGGATTAATATTTGTTGACTGCTCACTACGTGCCAGACTTGGTGCAAAGCATTTAAAATAGTTCATTAATCACCTTCTCCATACTTCCTGTGATGTCCCCAAGGCTGTTCTAAAAGGAATCCTCCTGACCCCCTGACCATTCCTGAAGGGAGGCAAGGGGCCGGAAAGGCTTGGCAGTCCAGTTTTTTGCCTCAGCTCATATCAATCAGTAAAGCTGTATTGGTTTTACAATTGAAGCCTTGCACATTTCTTATTGGACCTATTTGTAGATGTTTGATCTTTCTGTGTACAGTAAATGGGATTTCTTTTCTGGGATGCTTTGAAATTGGCTATTGCTGGTGTATTGGAAAATGATTTTGTATGTTGATTTTTCACTTGGCAACTTTCTATGCTCTCACTTTTAATTCATTTTAAAATTTATTCTCTTTGATTTTCTTAGTAGGTAATCATGTAGCTGATAATGATAATTTTTTCAGAGCCATATTAAAATACAATTCACATACTGTTACGGGATCCTTGGAGTGTCATTTTTCTTGCCAGAAACCTCTGTGGCCGGTGGTGTCTTTGCCCAAGTTTTGCTCAGGCCTGCTGGGCTCGTTCTGCTCACTCGACCTGGCACACTGCGCTCAGCTCATCCTACCAGCCTGGATCCCACACCTGCCAAGGGCAAGTCAGGCATGGAGTGGCGAGGGGTGTGTGAGCAAGCATGGGGTCTGGCTACTGATCAGTCAGACACGCCGGCTGCTGCAGCAGGGTGGGCAGTTCCAGGTGCCAGTGTGGGCTCTCTGCGAGGCCATGGCTGGACCAGGCACACTGCAAGCAGTTTCCACAGCTGGCACCAGGGAACGTGGGGTGCCTGGAAACTTGGAGATGCCAAGAACCACAGGGGCCCAAAGAGGGAGTCACAGTCCTGACTTGGGGAGCTCCCAGGTCTGGGCTCCCTGAAGGGCCACAGCTCTCTCTCCTCTTCACCTGCAATGTGGTGAGCAAGATGGGTATCTCAGTCCTGTTTGTGTTCCAGCTGTTTTAGCCCCACCATTTGATGGGTCCCAAGTTCTTGTCCTGCGACCAGGAAGAATGAGGTACACAGAAAAGGGGAGAGTGAACAAGACAAAGGGGAGATTTGAGTGATAGAACAGCTTTGAGGAGACCCGCAGTGGGTAGCTCCTCTCCGCAGCCAGGGTGTCCTGACGAGTGTTCAGCTTTTTGCAGAGAGGAGACCCTGGAGTGGGAAGCTTCTCTCTGGAGACAGGTCATCCCATCATCTCTGCAGCCAGAGAGAAGCCAGGCAGTGGGAGCAGGCACTTCTGAGCCTGTGAGGGCAGGGTGTGCCTTCCTGGGCTCCCAAGAGTGCAGAGATGCCTGGGTCTGCGGTTGCAGTTGGGGCAGCTGCAACTGTGCCTGGGGAGCGGGTCTCCTGCCTGCTCTGTGGAGCCAGAGGCTCGGGTCTGCAGGGACAACTTTGGCAGCTGCAGCTACACCCAGGAGAGTGCATCTCCTCCCTGCTCCCAGCCCCGAGAGTATAGGGATGCCCAGGTCCACAGCCATGGATTGGGCAGCTGCAGCAGCATCCAGGCAGCTCCTGCCTCAACACAGAAGGAGTGGGTCTCCCGCTTGTCCCTAGCTCCTGCTGGCTCAATAGAGTGCAGCCCCAGCCATGCCTCACTGCTGAAGCCAGCATGATGACAGCAGCTGCTCCATATGGCCTGCCACTGCCATCAATACCATAGGATTCGCCCTTTTAAAGGATATAATTTAATGATTTTTAATATGTTCAGAGTTGGGCAACCATAACCACAATCCATTTTACAAGGAATGGCAACTTTTAAATTCATAATTTTTCTTCTCCTTTCTATTTTTATTTCTTATTGAATTGGTTAGGATCACCAGTAGACTATTAAATAAAGTAGTAATGGTGGCAGTGGGCCATCTTGTCTTGCTCTTGACTTTTCTGGGAATGTCTAATTTTTTTGCCACTGAATAGGATATTTGCTACAAGTTTTTGTTAGTTAGCCCTTAGTAAGGAAAATTTCCACCTACCTTTAGATTGCTAAGAATTTTAGGTTCTAATTCAGAAATAGGCATACATTTTATCGTATCTATTCATGAAAGCATTTATTGTTATGGGAATATCTTTTCTGCCCTTCATATACTCCTGTAGCAAATTATCTTAATAGATTCTCTGCTTAAAGCTATCTTTATATTCTTTATGTATAATCCTTTTAAAACACCGTTGGAGTCAAGTTGCTAATAGGCTTATTATTATTATTTTTTGCCTTTAATTTTTTAGTGTGATTAGCCCATAGTTTTCTTTCTTTCTCTTTCTTTCTCTCGTTCTTTCTCTCTTCCTTTCTTTCTCTTTCTTTCTTTCCTTCCTTCCTTCCTTCCTTTCTCTTTCTTTCTTTCTTTCTCTTTCTTTCTTTCTTTCTTTCTTTCTTTCTTTCTTTCTTTCTTTCTTTCTTTCTTTCTTTCTTTCTTTCTTTCTTTCTTTCTTTCTTTCTTTCTTTCTTTCCTCTCTTTCTCTCTTTCTTTCCTCTCTTTCTCTGTCTCTTTCTTCTTTTTTACAGGGTCTTGCTCTGTTACTCAGGCTGGAGTGTAGTGGCACAATCATGGCTCACTGCAGCCTTGACCTGGGCTCAGGTGATCCTCCCCCAACCTCAGCTCTGCAAGTATCTGGGACTACAGGTGCATGGCCCCATGCCCAGCTAATTTTTTTTTTGTATTTTTTTTTGTAGAACGGGGTTCTCGTCACATTGCCCAGGCTGGTTTCACACTCCTAGGCTCAAGAAATCTTTGTGCCTTAGACTCCAAAAGTGCTGAGATTACAGATGTGAGCCACCATGCCCAGCCTAGTTTGCTTTTCTTTCTTCTTCTTTTTTGTTTTTATTATTTTGTGGTGACACAGGGTCATGCTTTTCTCAGAATGCTTTCAGGTTATGACTAAGCTAGAGTGAGGAAGAAACAAGGGCCCGGGCATTTTCCTTGAACACAAGCCTTGGCTTATTTGTTTATTTATTTATTTTCAGATGGAGTCTTGCTTTTTCACACCCAGGGTAGAGTGCAGTGGCATGATCTGGGCTCACTGCAACCTCTGCCTCCAGGGTTCAAGCGATTCTCCTGCCTCAGTCTTCCAAGTAGCTGGAATTACAGGCACTTGCCACCACACCCAGCTAATTTTTTTGTGTTTTTAGTAGAGATGGGGTTTCACCATGTTGGTCAGGCTGGTCTTGAACTCCTGACCTCAGGTGATTCACCACTTCTGCCTACCAAATTGCTGGAATTACAGGCATGAGCCACCATACCCGGCCTCTAATTTAATTTATAATTTTATTGCATGGCTTCTAGAACTCTGGAGCTTCTCCTTGGGCTGATAAATACTTGGTCAGATATGTATCCTGGTCTGACAGCTTCTCTGACCCAATCCTGAGCCTGTCTTTTCTCTTTTGCAGGTGTGACAAACTGTTTGCATTCCTAACTTCAAGTCGACAGTTGCCTCTCGTGGCACCCAGCTGGCACATATGCTACACTTTCCAGTTTGGTATCTATTCTTGTAGATTTCTGATTATTTCCTTTAGTCTGGAAGAATTCATATATCATAGAAAGTATTAGACCCTTGAAAATTAGATGTAATTCACAAATAAAACCATCTGAGTCTGTTTGGGTGTTTTTTAAAAAAAGAACTTGACAATTGTTCTAATTTCTTATGTGTTTATCGACCTATATAGGTTTTCTGTCTCTCCTGTGTTAATTTTGGTAATTTTGAGAGTTGAATCCAATCTTTCTTCCCTGCTGCAAAATCTCATTGCAGTAGTCCCTACAAAAAAAAAAAATGGTAATTTACACTTTCCTAGAAAATTTTATATTTCAGTCTAGGTTTTCAATTTTTTAAATTAACAATTTCTTTTTGGACATCTTTGGAAATATTTTTAAAATCTCCATAGTTGTATTTTCTTGCTCATTTCAAACATTAAATATCTTTTAAAATGAGTTTTAACTAGATTTGTAAATAGCAATGGTCTTTTCAAAGATCAAGATTTTGTTTTATTAATTAAGTTCATATTTTTGTGTGAGTGTTCTACCTCGTTAAATCCTGCTGATTTTATACTCCATCCCTCTACTTTCTTTGAGTTTATTTTGCTGCCTTTTCATTCTAGACTGTTGATTTCATGCTCTTTCATTTAGTGTTAGCCCTACTTGTTTCTAATAAACTTATCCTGAGTCCCACTTGGGCCATGTCCCATAGCCCCTGAAACAGAGTTTCTGAATGTCACTTTTTCTAGTTTACAGTTTCCTCTTTAACTTAAGAGTAATGTTAACTTAAGAGTAATGTTAGAGCAGGAGTCCCCAAGCCCCAGGCCACAGACCAGAGCAGTCTGTGACCTGTTAGGAACTGGGCCACACAGCAGGAGGCAAGCAGCCTGAGAGTGAGCATTACCACCTGAGCTCCACCTACTGTCGGATCAGCAGCGGCATTAGATTCTTATAGGAATGCAAACCCTATTGTGAACTTCACATACGAGGGATCCAGGTTGTGTGCTCCTTATGAGAATCTAATGCCTGATGATCTGGGGTAGAACAGTTTCATCCTGAAACCAGCTCTCCCACTGCATATGTGGAAAAATTGTCTTCCATGAAACTGGTCCCTGGTGCCAAAAATGTTGGGGACTACTGCGTTAGAGGTTGCTTTAGAACTTCCAGTTGGGGGAAAAAGTATATATATAATGTATCTATATATATATTTGTTATCTTGTATGTTTCATTTTGCTTTTTAATTTTTTTTTTTTTTTTTGAGACCAGGTCATGAGGCTGGCTAGTTTTTGTATTTTTGGTAGAGATGGGGTTTTTCCATGCTGCCCAGGCTGGTCTCAAACTCCTGGCTTTGAGCTATCTACCCACCTCAGCCTCCCAAAGTGCTGGGATTGCCAGCATGAGCTACCACACTTTGTTGCTGCTTTTTAATTTTTAATTTTATTGTGCAGTGGCCAAACAAGAAGGTTTGTATAACTTATGCTTTTTGAAATGTATTGGAATTCTCCTTGTGGTCAAATACATGATTCATTTTGTAAAGCACTGTAGATGTTTGAAAAAATGGGTACTTTCTATTTATCCAGTACAATATTCTATTCATATGTATATATTAAATAGATTTCAGAATTCTATTTTGAGGTATACTGAAGCATATGATTAGTGTATCTTTTTGGTGGACTATAACTTTTATCAATATGAACTCTCCCTGTTGGCCTTGATACTTTTTATTTCAAATTGTTGTTTCTGGTGTTCATATTGATATATCTGTTTTTATAGCAATTTACCTAGTGTTTGCTGCTTATTATGTAATAAACAACAATTTATCTGTTCTTGAAGCAATTACATAATATTTGATACCCATTTTGGTAGCATATATAGTTCTATACCTTTGTTTTCAAATATCCTGCATAATTTCATTTTAGATATGACTTTTGGCAATGGCAGTGGCTCATTTTTTAAATTTTCTTTACCTAAACTGAA